GTCGCCGGCATCGGCGTCGGCTGCAGCCCCTGCTGCAGTGGGCTGCCGTGAGCTACTGTGAGTGGCTGGCAGCCAGTGTGAGCAGCCGGCAGCTTGCATGAGCTGCTATGAGCCTCTGTGAGCGGCTGTCCAATGGCCAGAGAGCGACTACCTCACCTGGGAAAAGTGCAATGATAATACCAACATGGACCAGTGAAGCAACGTCCTCCACAACTAGACTGAAGAACAGGAGGACAGCAACTTGTCTGTTCCCCTTCCCTGACTCCCCAACACTGTTCCCATCCCCCAATGCCCCAATAAAATCTTGAAAATAAAAAGTATATGGGATTTTGAACATTTAATACGTAAAAGGATATAAAATATATCAGTTATTTTTTTATATTGATTATATGTTGAAATGATGTGCCTTGGACATACTGAGTTAGATAAAATATAATAAAATTTCTTTGTTTTGCTTTTTAAAATGTATCTGCTAATAAGTTTGAAGGATACCTTATGTTTTCTGTGATTCTAGAAAATTAAATTGAACTTACTGTATTCTTTTGTTAATTATTTTTACTATCATAGGTGTTAGAACTGATATGTACTCGGGAGTCAGGAGCAGTCTTCGAGGCTGGTGGTTTGAATTGTGTGCTTACCTTCATTCGTGACAGTGGACATCTGGTTCATAAAGATACCTTACACTCTGCCATGGCTGTGGTTTCAAGACTCTGTGGCAAAATGGAACCTCAAGATTCTTCTTTAGAAATTTGTGTAGAATCTCTGTCTAGTTTATTAAAACATGAAGATCATCAGGTAAATAAATCACTGTTGTACTTTCATTTCAAAAGGGATTTTATAGTATTCTTATTTATAACTGATACACTTCAAATTGGACTTTTCACTTGATGAAGTAGAGGTAATTCCATCTTTCTCTCATTTTATATCTCTATATGGTAATCTTTTTGTTTTGGCAATGAAACATTTTAAATTGTAAAAGTGATAATATGTTTATTCTTAAAATTTAAATGTTTGGAAATATATAATTTTTAAAGTTGCTCTTATGCTCAGTGGAATTTGTTGACTCAGCACAATTTTGTTGAATTAAAAAGATAGCTCTCACTGAACTGAAAACACAGTATTTAAAATCTTACATGTGTAAACTTGTGTTGAATTAGCATACTTGAGAAAATGAAACTTGACTTTGAATGCTTTTTTAGCATTCAAATATTATTTTCAGTTGATACTCAGATTATTTTGGCAAAGTTGTACATAATAATGGTTAATATTTATTGAGGTTTTACTGTCCATCTAGGTCCTTTACATATGTCATACCATTAAAGCTCAGACAGTGAATTATAATTACTGTTATTCCCATTTTATAGATAAGGGAACTGAGGCCTTGAGCAGTTAAGTAACATCCTCAAGTCAGCAGAATGTGGAGCCAGGATTCAAATCTAGACAGAATGTATGCCTTATTTCTTTGCTACAGCTGCCTGTCTTATAGTGTTAGTATTGAAATAAGCAGCACTAGCCCTTTTTATTTAGGTAAAGTTTGTCCATATGCATATTTTTACATCATTAGGTTTCGGATGGAGCTCTGCGATGTTTTGCGTCATTAGCTGACCGATTTACCCGCCGTGGTGTTGACCCAGCTCCATTAGCCAAGCATGGATTAACCGAGGAGCTCTTATCTCGAATGGCTGCTGCTGGTGGTGCTGTATCAGGGCCGGCGTCAGCTTGCAAACCAGGTCGCAGCACCACAGGAGCGCCTTCCACAGCTGCAGATTCTAAATTGAGTAACCAGGTGTCAACAATTGTCAGTCTGCTCTCAACACTTTGTAGAGGCTCTCCGGTAGTCACACATGTAAGAGTGCTTTTCAGTCTTTGATTTTTAATCTTTCAGGATAAGTGTTTTGTAATATAACGCAAATATATTAAACACTTTTCTCCCATTCTCTTTCTAGGATCTCCTGAGGTCAGAGCTTCCAGATTCAATTGAAAGTGCATTGCAGGGTGATGAGAGATGTGTGCTTGATACCATGCGTTTGGTTGACCTTCTCTTGGTGCTGTTATTTGAAGGACGAAAGGCTTTGCCAAAGTCTAGTGCTGGATCTACAGGGAGAATCCCAGGACTCCGGAGATTGGACAGTTCTGGAGAGCGCTCACATCGGCAGCTTATAGACTGTATTCGAAGTAAAGATACCGATGCTCTTATAGATGCAATTGACACAGGAGGTCGGAAAATATTTTTTGAAATATAAAAAGAAAACTAAGATAAGGAATTATGTAGGCAGTTTCTAGTTTCTAGATTTTAGACAGTATTTTTAGCACTTGTGTCAGATAACAGAATGGCTAGTGTCTTCCATATTCTCCCTTCTCCCCATGTATATAATTATCAGCCTGGTTCATGGTAAGATCTGAGTAAATGCTTGTTGAATGAGTAAATGAAATTTACCTGTTTTATCGTCAGAAGGAGATTGTGCCAATTCTAAGATGAACTGCAGATTGATTATAGGGCTATTTTCTCAAGATTAATGAAACTGATACTGGTGAATTATTGTAATATATAGTAAATTTTTTAGACAGTTTCATGAGGTGATGAGCAAATATAACGTGTGAAAGATGCTTCTGGGCCATTAGACTTGTCTTTGTGTTCTTTTGATTATAGATGTGGATTAGTTTCTTTTCCACATTTATGACACGAGACAGCTAGTACCCTTGAGTTGTGTTCTTTTATATTTAGCTTTTTCTTTCTTATTTTATGATTATTTTTAAGGCTTAAAGTCTTGTGAATCCTCAATGGTTTAAAATTTTAGAATACTTCTTTATTTAGAATACTGTTTCATAGCAGAATTTACATTTGCTGATTATTTACTTTATAGTTGACCTAAATGTTTAAAATTGGCTCTGTATTTAGTGACTATTAATAATAATCTTTAAATGGTCCCCTCTTTAGAAAAGTTCAGTATTATTTTGTTGGCTTTTAAAAAATTTATTTTTCTTCCTTCAAACTTCCAGCCTTTGAAGTAAATTTTATGGATGATGTGGGTCAGACTCTATTAAACTGGGCCTCTGCTTTTGGAACTCAGGAAATGGTAAGCTAATAAATAAAAGCTAATGTTTTAAAATCAAATATAGAAATATTAATGCAGCAACTTCATGATTCTTCATCGTTTTATAGGTAGAATTTCTTTGTGAAAGAGGTGCTGATGTTAATAGAGGTCAGAGGTCATCATCATTACATTATGCTGCATGTTTTGGAAGACCTCAAGTAGCAAAGGTAAAATCCAGGTTTTTAAATTATTATGTTAGTATTTGACATTTACATGGCTCCAATATCAGAATTATAGAAAAACTTTTATTCTATTATGTTTCCATGCCATCTTCATTCACTCCATTTCCCCTTTGCCCACTATAGGTAATCATTTTTTATTGTTTTTTGTTGTTGTTTATCTTTTCAGAGTTTTTTAATACAGATACAAGCAAAAGTAAATATGTATGCTTATTACCTCCTTTTGTTATACAAAATGTAACATTAAATACGCTGATCTATACTTTGCTTTTTTCATTTAATAATATAGATGGAAGACCTTTTATATATTTGGAGAGCTTTTCTACATCTGCATACTTATCCTGTGTGGATGTACTGCAGGTTTATCCAACCAGCCATCTATTACTAAATACTTGGTTGTTTCCAATTTCATTGCTGGCAGTGAATAAACTGTATAGGCATACCTCAGAGATATTGTGGATTTGGTTCCAGACCACTGTAATAAAGCACGAGTATTGTAAAGCATGAGTGTCCCAATAAAGCAAGTCATAATCTTTTTGCTGGTGGAGGGTCTTGCCTTCAATTTGTAAAAAACGCAGTATCGGTGCAGTGCAGTGACGCAGAGTGCAATAAAACGAGTTATGCCTGCACTATTTCTGTTGTTTCTATTTAATAATAAACCAAATACGTGTATTCTGTTTGCAGACATACCATAGTATCTTTGACTCTTAGTTTATCAAAGGACTTTGGGGAGTTCTTGCCATTAGGAGAGATTGAGGTTAACAGGTCAAATGATAAGGGTTGAACCAAATATATCATCTAGGTCTCTAGATTTCTATAGTGAAGTAATTTGGCATAGTGCAATGTTAGTTGGCTGTAAAGTCAGGCACACCTGGATTCAAGTTTTAGCTCTACAACAAAACGTGGCCTTGGGCAAGTTTCTTAAATTTGACTTGCAGTTTTATCAGTAAAATGTATGTATATTCCTAGCATGATTATTGTGATAATTAGGAAAAAATCCATGAAAAGCACTTAATGAAGTAGATGGCACATTGTAGATGTTCAAATGGTAGTTGCTGTTATTGTCATTTTTACACTAAGAAAATTTTTAGTAATAACTTAGTTTTCTAACCTGAGAAAAATAGTCTCTTAAAGTTCGAATACTGTCAGTTTGAATTAATTTTTAGAGAGAATAATGCTTCTGAGGGTGATAAAAATTTTGATTAAGTCATTTTCTTTTGGCCTATAGTATTTCACAGTTATGAGTGGCTGAGTGGGGGAGGAGCCAAATGCATTGTATCTAACCCTAAGCTATATTGATTATACATCAGCCCACAATGAGCTATAGCTGCCATTACTAACAATGATATAATAGGTAGTGACCGCTAGGCAATTCTTCTTTGCCAGCCAGTTCTTAAGCTTTTAACATATTTTATCATTTAATCTTTACAGGTTCTTATGTTTTTAATAGATTTTAAGATACACTTCTACATTCTCTCCCCCACAGACACGTACACATTTTAATTTCTCTTAAATAGGAAAATGTGTTATAATTGCTGTTGGACAGGTAGAAATTGCAGCATAATTATTACATGTCCATGCAACAAAAATTGTGAAATGGATTTTAGTAACTTAAATGACAAATCCTGTTTGACAGAGAATCACTCTCAGAAATGCTGTGTCACTAGTGCTCTTTATTGCACTGATAACAACATTGTGTGTAGAAACACAAATGTTAGTGACTTTGATTCAAAAAGTTATTAATTATGAAGAATTGTGTGTAGAATATGAAGAAGTCACAGAAATACTGTCCAAGTAATATATGAAGAAATATCTGTTTAAAAAAGTTCTTTCAATAAGTTAAAAAAATTAATTCCAAACAATAAAAAAGCATTGTTGCAAAATTTAATTGGCCTTGTTTTTTCTTCCTTAGTGGTACTTAATGATATGTTGAGTAATCTATGGCATTTTGGATTTGATGAAATACTGAATTATTGTGATTTAAACCCCAGCAGTTTGGAATTTTTAGGCTAGTATAACACTTCATACTTACTTGATGTGTCTATGTATGCACTTACTTGTCAGATATATTTATAACATCATAACGAAGTTCAAAAAACTGTAACTCTGAGGCTGATAGGAAAAACGTGAGATGTATTTTGTGTTCCAAAGAGCTTACAGTTTGCTGGGGAGAGAGTCTAATGTGTATTAAAAATTGGTGAACAGTATAAATTAGTATTTAAGACCAAAATTTTGTAGTTCATTCTAGAATTGATTTAATTTGGCTATTGGCAGTATGTAAGAAATAATGAATAAATAAATGGTGAAGATGATTACCATGTCACAAACTGAATGCTAGTAGCTCTGTTAAAGAAATTGGGAGGAGTAATTTGATAGAGAAGATGACAGGTTGTGGTGTGAACATAATTTGAGTTGTTAATAACCAAGTGAAATTAATCTAATTTTTTTCAAGTTATAAGTAGACTACTTTTATGGTGATCTATGTGAAAGCAGAGATTTGAATTGGTATCTGCTTAAGTAATTCTGTAAGTGTGCAACCTGAAGTATGGCTGCAATCTAAAGATTACAGAGCTGCATATTAAAGAAATTAAGTGTTAATTGTTATATCCAAATTATATACTTTTCTTTTTTAGACTCTGTTACGACATGGTGCAAACCCAGATCTGAGAGATGAAGATGGGAAAACTCCATTAGATAAAGCTCGGGAAAGGGGCCATAGTGAAGTAGTAGTTATTCTTCAGTCTCCAGGTAACTGGTAAAATCTTTCTTTTTAAGCCATCTGCTATTACTTTTCAGTTTCACTTCCATAAAAGTAGCTTCCTGTAGACATAGTAACATTGTATAAACAAACTATTCCTATGAAGTCAAATAATTATATATTTATACCCTTATATTTGGTAAACCTTTAGCAGTATACTGTTTTGTGTTCCTTGAGACTATGAGTGCATGATTTCAGAGAGACCAAATCAAAAGTTTAAGGGGTGTGGGAATGCCATAAACAATAGTTTGGTATTGTGTAGATGAAGTACTTTGACCAAATTTTTAGGTTTTCACAGAGTAGATAGATGCATAACTCCTGTGAAATAATTTTTGGAATCAAGTGGAATATCCAAAATTATGTCCTTAGGTTGTGATTAAGCTCACTGTAGGTACTAATGTTCTTTAATATTCTTACAAGCATCTTTGATAGATACAACATTCTAATTTCAGTTTAATTATAGCTTAACTGAGGATATTCTAGTTTAACAGGGATAATGATATTTTAGAGTTGGGTACATTTTAATATTTTTTTCATTGGAAGAAAAATTTTCCAAAAATTCATTTTACTGAACAATATTTATCTACAGGTGATTGGATGTGTCCAGTTAATAAAGGAGATGATAAGAAAAAGAAAGATACAAACAAAGATGAAGAAGAATGTAATGAGCCAAAAGGAGACCCGGAAATGGCACCCATATACTTGAAAAGGTTATTGCCAGTGTTTGCACAAACATTTCAGCAAACTATGCTGCCTTCAATAAGGTAGGGATAAGTAATATTTGTATTTACTAGTTGAATTATGCCAGTTGTATAGTTTTACTTATCTCCCCTTTCCAGGAAGATTTAAGGCAGCGGTTCTCAACCTTCCTAATGCTGCGACCCCTTAATACAGTTCCTCATGTTGTGGTGACTCCCAACCATAAAATTATTTTCGTTGCTACTTTATAACTGTAATTTTGCTACTGTTATGAATCGTAATATAAATATCTTTTTGTTTTCCGATG